ACACAGGGCAAAAATTCTAAATGATGATTCCCACAGTAACCGTAACTCTGTTATACATGTACATTATGGAAGAAATGTTACCAACAAACACCATGGGGGACTACACCCGATCAGCAAAAACGGGCTGAGTCATGCTTGCTGTGGCAATCATCATTTTCAACTGGCTGAATTTATATCAAAATCGAAACCATAACTGCATTCTTTTTTGCATTTAATTCTAATTTTTACTTGATCCAATTTAATCAGCTTTGCATTCAAAATACATTTTCTTTCCATTAACTGCAAATGAATACCTTGCATCATCTTTAAACCCACAGCACCTTGCTTCCTTGCTCCAGGGAGGTTCATTTGGAGGTGGATGCACCTCGACACAGCCCCTCCCTCAAACGCCAGATGGGCTCTCCGGGGTTCCATTTCTCTGTCTTCCTTTTCGCTCTGAAGGAGACAGCAGGAGAGGAGAAGGGTGACTGCCCCAGAGAGAATGCACCACTCTGAGGAGCCCAGAAATGTGAAGGAATGCCCACGCAAGGGGCAATATGAGGCTTCTTGTCCCCTTGGCATGTGCTTGTGCACAAAGAAAACACGGCTCCTTATGTGTAGAGTAGACTATTTGGACGGTGCATTTAACCTAGAGAAGAGTCGGTGAACAAAACAGTTTTCAGGTACTGAGAGGACACACACGTGTAAGAGGACTTAGAGATGCTGGAATTGTTAGAGGGATGCTAGGTGGCACAGTAGATAGAGGATGAGACCTGGCATCAGGAAGACCTGAATTCAGATCCTGCCTCAGACACTTGCTAGCTGTGTGACCTTGGGCAAGTCACTTCACCTGTCTGCCTCAGTTTCCTTATCTGTAAAGTAAGGATAAGAATAGCACCTACTCCACAGTGGTTGTGAGGATCAAATGACTTTGCTTTGCAAACCTTAAGGTGTGAGACAGATGCTCCAAGAGGCAGAATGAGAACCAGTGGGTGGATGACACCTAGTAATCGATTTTGGCTCAAAGGACTTCCTCACAACCTGAACTGTCCCAGACTGACTGTCGGGGTCGGGGGGGAGGGGACAGAGAGGACTTTTATGGAGGCGATCCCTGCATCTCCAAGTCCAAAGATCAGTGTCTGCCTTTCCACTTCTCCCTTCTCCTATGCTCAAGGGCAGATGAGAGGGAGAAATAACATTCTTATTCTGAGGTTTGGAAAATTAGCTACCTGCTTAACACTCCAGGTGTTGTTGTATTTAAGCTCTAGAGAAGCAGCCATCCAGAGCAGCAGGAAATCGCTGTCACTGGCGGTTTTCTCATCTCCAAGAAAGCATCTTCTCGCACCTCCCAAAAGGGACCAGTGAGCCTCCAGCCCAAGCCCTTCCTTCCCCATCAGCATCTCTCCTTCCCTTCTTTGGGGTCTATGACCTTGTCCCTGTATGTGCAGGGCACCCAGGTCACACTATTCCTAATTGGGTGAGACTTGTTCTCCCTTTCAGCACAGAAAAGCACCTTCCACATGATAATAACAACAAAGATGATGACAATACAAAATTAATATTAATAATAACAACTGAATGGGACGATGTAGTCCACTGAGGGTATCTTTAGAGCGGTGACCCGCTCATCACTTCTGTCTCTCTCCAGACAAAAACACCCCTCCCTGGCCACGACTCCTTTATGGGTGGCTCTCTTTAATAGGCAATAAGCTCCCTGAGGGCAGTAACTGTCTGGTTGTTTCTGCTGCATGCCCAGTGACTTTCTCATTCATTTATTCATTTGTACAGCACTTTAAAGGTCCCAGGATGCCTTATATATGGTGTCTCACTGGTCCTCACAGAAACCCTGAAAAGTGAGTGCATAGGTCTTATCCCCATTTTACAGATAGCAGACTGGTACCTGGCACACAGTACATGCTTAATACATGCATGCTAAGTGAGATTCAGAGAAATGACTTATCCACGGTCATACAGCAGGCAAGATTCAAAACCTGGTGTTCTTTACTCCAAGCATGACAAGCTGAGTTTTCCCTTCTCTGCACATCTAAATTTCAAGGACCCAAGCAAACATTAAATGCTAACTACGTGCCAGAGCATCTAAGTGTACACTGGATAGAGTGCTGGGCCTGGAGTCAAGAAGACCCGAGTTCAAATCTGGCCTCAAACATGTACTAGCTGTGTGACCCTGGACAAGTCACTTCACCCAGCTTACCTCAGTTTCCTCAACTGTAAAATGCAGACCCTCGAGAAGAATATGGCACACTGCCCCAGTATCTCTGCCCAGAAAACTCCAAATGGGGCCAGAGACAGTCGGACAGGACTGAGCCAGCTCACCAATAAAATGTGGATGACTCCGGATGGGCAGCCCTCATTCAAAAGAGATGGAATAGGTAAAAGGGGGATTAGCTGGAGTCGCCTTGAATAGGAGAAGGAGCAGGAGTCAGCCTGCCAACAAACATTTATTAATCAATCCATAAGCATTTGTTAAGTGCACGCTACTGTGAGCCAGACACTGTTCTAAGCTCCAGACACAAGAAGAGACGAAGAACAGGCCCTGCCCTTCAGGAGCTTACAGTCTCACAGGAGACCATGTGCAGACACACATACAGAAAAGAGCCCCATCTCGTCTGGTCCTAAGATCTTGGATGGCAGAGACATTTTAGGACAAAAGAGGAACACACAGCCTGGCTCTGGGGGAGGCAGAGAGCAGTCTCCCCACGCCAGGCCAACGAGCGTCCCCACGTCCCGAGTCTCAGAGGTCCTAGAGGGGCAGGCTTGAAGGCAGAGGTCCTCTCCTTCCTCCCCTCCGCCTCCGGGCTTCCCTCTCCCACCATCCGTGAGAAGCTTCCCAGATCTCCCACAGTGCCAGTGCCTTCTCTGAGCTCACCTGTCTCCTCTTTACCTTGTCCGAGCTGTTGGCATACCATCTCCCCATCAGACCGGGAGCCCTCTGAGGGCAGGGACCGTCTAGCTCTGCCTTTCTTAGCTCAGCACAGGGCCCGGCTTATCAATACTTGTTGACTGACTGAGAGACCGGGGCAAACACATAGGGCCAGCATGGCTTTAAGAACAGGCCATACATATCATTATTATCAAATGCTGCTTTCAGTCCTCACAACAACCCTGGGATGTGGCCCCATGTTACAGGAGAGGGAACTGAGGCAGGCAGAGGCTCAGTCAGAGTCACTGCCTGAGGCAGGATCTGAACTCAGGTCTTGCTGACTCCAGTCCGCTGCCCCACCAGCTCTTCTGGTGGCAGACACCTTCCTTGTCTGGCAGCTTGGCTAAATTCACGGATCAGGGGATGGTGCCGCTAGGGTCTCCCCAGAGCCCAGAGATGGAGGGAGGGCCAGGAGGCCAGGCTCACTGGGGAGGTGAGAGAAGACTGGAAGAGGACGAGTGGTTTTGAATGCCATGCACAGGACTTCGTACTTCATCCTGGAGGCCCACTGGAGCCACTGCAGGTGACCGAGGGAGGGGGATGTCTCCCCTTTTCTGGAAGCCTCTGTTGGGACCAATCATTTGGTTCAATTCAATCCAATTCCATGCACATTTCCAACATACCTGACATGTGCATGCCTGGCACTGTGTGAGGGCCCAGGACTAGAGATGGGGCATATCCCTGGGCTTGGGGAGGACGTAACCAGCTCACGTTCCTGGATCACCATAAGGACGGCAGACACAGTCTAACGGGAACAGAGAGTCACTTAGTGATGGGGGTGGACCAGGCAAGGAGGGGCTACCTTCCATGCCCCGATGGGGGCAGGGGCCTGCCAGGAAGAACAGGGTCAGTACGCGGGGCTCTTATCCTCTTTTGTGTCAGAGTCTGGTGATGCCTACAGACTCCAAGTGCTTTCAAGTCTATAAAATAAAGTCCACAGGCTTCCAAAGGAAACCAGTGCTAGTGAAACAAGATTTGCTTCTTCCAGACCAGGCCTGGGGCCTGCAGGTTAGGAGCCCACCCCGGGCTCACAGTGTTTGGGAGGAATCAGTGTGTGATGGCTGGGGGTTACTGACAGGCCATCATGGCAGCAGGGGAGGACTGGGAACCAGGGGACAGGTAGGGGGCGAGGCCCAGCGGGAAGGAGAATGGCCTGGGTGAGGGCCCGAAGGCCTGAGCCAGGGTGAGAGCCGTGAGAAACAAAAGCTGTGAGTGCATCCGATGCTTGGCTCCTAGGGAACATCATGGGCAGCACTGAAGGTCAGAGGGCAGGTCAGGGGAAGGGGATCTTTGGAGACATTGCAGTCCTGGGCATGCTCACACACAGCTCCAGAGATGCCCAGGGAAGATGCCCATTTGGGAATCTCTTCAAACTGTCTCTTCCCCAAGCCAGGGGGTGCAGGGAACGTTGGCACAGTGCCTGCACTATTGCTTGTCCCAGGAAATGCCGGGGTGGTTTTCCCAACAGGCAGTTAACTTCCTGGGGCACTCCCAGTATCACGACCCAGAGATGATGGACATTACTTAGTGCTTTAAAACCTTCACTTCCTGCAAGACCCAATTCAGGGGTCACCTACAGGAAGCTGCAAGAGCTTCCCCATGGCAATGCTCCTGTCTGCACACTGCAGCAGAGGGGCACGGTGGCCAGGTCACACGCCTCAGAGACGTGCTGCTGGGGTCCTCGGGCCAGTGACTCGGCACCTCTGGGCAGCCAAGACCACAAGCTGAAGGCAGAGGCCAGCCTGCCTTGGTAAAGGGAGTTTCCTTGGCTGGGAGGGAACAAAACCAATAAAAGGCCAGGCTGGGCCCAGCCCTCTGGTCGGCATGGAGTTGGGTGGTAAGCCTTGCACCTCTCTGCCAAGCAGAAGGCAGTGTTGCCCAATGTGTACAAACCCTGTGTCCAGAAGTCGGACAGGCCTGACGGTCCTGTCCCTGGGGCTCACCGCCTGCTTGACCCCCTACAAATCGACCTGAGGTCCTGTCCAGCTCTCCAAATCTGCTCCAGTCCACACCCCGTGTGCCAAAAGCCCCCGGTAACGTGCCCCCCAGGGGCACGGTTAGAGCTCAATGAAGAGAAGGGCTGCTTTTCACATTTATTAATAGATCCAAGTGTTCACACTGCAGAGTTAACAGTTTAAACTATCAACCAAGATGTGATTTACTCACCCACGTTTAACACAGAACATGTTTCACGTATGACACTGTACTACAACGAAGAAGCCCCCCAAAGCGCAGGCTCCCCGGGCCTCCTCACCCTCTGTCTGATGCTCTGGAGAGACGCCAGTTCCAGGACGCGTGCGGTCCATCCCCCGCACTGAGAGCCCCGCGGACGTCCCGCTAAAACACGTACTTCATGTGCTTGATGCCATATGTCTTGAAGAAGACCATGAGGATGAGGGCCCAGAGCCCCAGGATGAAGCCTCCCGGCGGGTGCCACTCCTTCGGCTTAGGCTTCTGCAAAGCAGGACGACAGCGTTACATTTCACCAAGGGGACATCGGACAACCATTAAACCGAGAGGAGCGGGGCTGCTTTTTCAAGGGCAAGCATTTGCCTTCTAAGACTGGGATTTAATCAAGCCAGAGGAGCCCAAAGAGGCCGAGCCCTGACTCCCGCAGGTGCTCAGACCCAAGGGCTGCCCACCCACCCTCAAGTTTCCTTTGGCAGAGGAGGAGCTTCCTTATCTAATCAAATCCCAAGACTGGGACTTAATCAAGCCAGAGGAGCCCAAAGAGGCCCAGCCTCAACTCCCCCAGACACTCAGAACAGTCCTCATCTTCCCTCTGAGGGATGGAGATGGGCTTGCTTTGTGCCTGGGAAGTGTCTGGGACCCCAACTCCAGCTGAGCCTCAGGCCGCTTCTGTCTGAGCAGTTGCAAATACACACAGCAGAGTGGAAGCAGACACTGACCCGGTTTTCTGCTACAGTAACTGGGACACACGTGGGCCCTGAGAAGTGGAGGAGTTTGTGGGCATCTCCCGGGTGACTCTCCTGCTCTTTTCACTACAGGGGCTACTCACTCCTGCTGGGCAGCCTCTTCCTCCTCCTGGCACCCCACAATTCATTGTATCAGAAAAATCATACGCATGGCCAAAAGCACTCATTTGGAATCCACAATTTAAAATAGCTGTCAATGAAAAAGTTGTGTTTTCAGACTTGAAAACAAAACCAAGATTTTTTTTTTCATGGAAAGATGGGTGCTTATCTATGAGCTCACCTTTTCTCAGCACCTTGGTTCATTCTGCAGAACCATCATCTATCCCTCCTTTTCTTGTCTCAATATTTAATTTTTAAAGATCTGATTTTCTATTTGATTCAAATTCTTGTAGGTAGAAATGTTGGGGGCAACACGATGCACTCTAATTCCAAATCTGATCCAAAGAGGCTCTGAGCCTTCTTGGTAGTTCCTTCAATTCCATGTAAAAGGGATCAGACTGGTACCACGATGCCTGTGTCCTTGCTAAGACTGTGGCTTCACAGACCTGTGAGGGCCTGAAGGTTTACCAGGTTGTCTCTCCCCTTAAAATACGAGCTCTTTGACAACAGGGACTGGTTTTGCCTCTTTTTGTATCCCCAGCACTTAGCTCAGGGCCTGGCACAAAGTAGGTGCTTAAGTGTTTGATTGACTGCTTTGTTCGAGGCCTAATGCAAATTACAGGGAGGATAGGGATGACCTTCCTACCACAAGCAACTGATGATCCAGGTGGGGCAGGAGCCAGACCTTTCCACATAGACAGAGAGACAAACAGACAGACAAGGCCTGCAAACCTATGAATGTATGACTGGCTCCCATGGGGCACAGCGACTAGACAGAATTCACCAAAGGAGAAAGAGCAAAAATAAAGAAGTGGATATCGTGACTAGCTGGGTTGGGCAAAAGGAAGAAATGTGGACGAGAGGAAGCCTCAACCCTGGGATGGGCTGCTGGAACATTGCGGAATTCAGCTCCATCTTTTCAGAAGAACCACAAGACCCCGCTCCTTGGCACCCCTGTGCATTGGCTTGTTGTCGGAGTTGTGAACTGGCCTGGACGTTCTGGAATCCATATCCCCAAGGTCGCTAACCTGTGCGTGCCCTGAGAGCGAGGGAAAGCATTCCTACAGCTAGTCCCCAGAACAACCAAAGAAGCAGGAAAAGGACCGGTAGGCACAAAAAGTCACAACAGCTCTTCCTATAATGGCAATGAACTGGAAACCAAGGGGGTGGGCTCCTCTCTGCCTGGGATGGCTAAACAAATAATGAACACGACTGCGCTATTTAAGAAAGACAGAAGGAAGGGCTACAAAGAAACCTGGCCAGACTTGCACGGCCCGATGGCCACCCAGCAGAACAATTTATACAATAACAACCAGGACACAAGGACAGACAACTCAGAGAGACTTAAGACCCACGCGATGACCGAGTGAGCTACCCTTCTTCTAACGGGGGATAGACTCAGCGTGCGGACTGAGACAGTCAGAGGCAGGGGCTGTCCTAACTGCCTCGGCAGGTGTGTTACAAGGGTTTCCTTTTCCTTCTTCCAGGTTGGGGGTGGGGGTAGGTGGGAAGGGAAGCGAAGGGAAAAATACAGCAAAAATTTCACATACCTCTCCAAAGACAGAACACATTTCCTAAAGCACAACACCTAGAACAATGACGAGGATGTAGTGGTCTCTCAGTAAATAATTTCTCACTGACAAATATATGTGAAAATACTAATGGGATATAAAACTGGGCTACTGGGGTGATTTGCCTGTTTTTATCAGATTTTTTATTTAAATGTATTTTGGTTCATCAAAGCCACGGTACTAAAAAGCTTTAGTATAAAAACTACGCTCATCCCTGAACGTATGTAGCAGATGTAGCACGTGAATAACACTAATCACAGCATACATCCACACAGACATATCAGTTTGATACTGGAACTCAAATGTGGAACCTTCTTCCACTGACAAAAGATGCTGTTGAATCCTGACATCCTTACTATAATCTAGGAAAACAAAAGAAGTGAGGGAGTTTGCAGCTCAAGGCAATGTGAACTCTGCAGCAGGGGGGCCCTGTACCCTCCCAGACGGCCTCTCCTCTCCAGCTCGCCGGCGCTCTGCTCTCATGACCCTTCTGCTCAGTGCCTCTTGTGGACTGTCCTCCATCCCCTGCCCCCCAACTCTGTATGTCCCCTAAAGCCCTTCTCTTTTCCCTCCACGCTCACTCACTTGGTGATCTCACGGGTGCGGCAGGTTCAGTCACCTCCGAGGACACAACTCCCATGGCCACATATTGTACCCGGATCTCTCTCCTGAGCTACAGTCCTACATCAAATGTCTCCCAGACATTTCAGACTGGTTGGAGCATCTCAATGAGGGTTTTCTGAACCTCTCTACTACGGCCGCCAGGGGGCGCCACAGTGCACAGAGCGCCAAGCCTGGAGTCAGGAAGACCCAAATTCAAATCTGCACTCCAACATGTGCCAACTGGCCTCAGGTTCTCCAACTGTAAAATGGGGATAATAATAGTGCGCGCTCCCCCCCCCCGCGTTGTGGTGAGGAGAAAGTGAGATGCTATTTGTGAAGTGCTCACTCAGCCCAGAGCCTGGCACACAACAGGCACGACACAAATGAGCGCTGCTGCTGTCAGCCGTGCTTCCGGGCGCCTGGCTTCGAGCCCTCCTCATCGGCCTCAGCCCCTTCTCTTTCTCACAATATCCCTTCTGGCCATCCCCTCCTCTCCACACTTGGGGCACGCCCCCCCCGAGACCACTGCAGGAGCTCCTGCCTCCCTGCACTGCCCCCCAGGATGCTCCAGGACTCGCCCACGGCCTCGACAGTCACATCTGAAGGGCTCTCACAAGCATCTCCCATCCTAATCCCCTCAGGCACCCCACTGGGCTACCACCCCCATGCCGAGTCCTGCCTCCGGACCTCTGCAGCAGCTGTGCCCCAAGCCTGGGGTGCCTCACCACAAGCACCCACAACCCCAACGGAGCCCTCCTTACTCTGCGGCTGCCAGAGGCTCGCCCTCTTAGGGACCTTCCACCGACTCTGCGGCTGGCTCATCATGTTCTCATTTTCACGTGCCAAGAGAATGCAAGCTTCCAGAGGGCAGGAACTGTGTGTCCAGGGCCCGGGCCTGGGATGCTGTAAGCACTTAATAAATGCACGCTGACTGACCGACCTCCCTTACAGGGTAGCCACAAGGACCCAAAGAGATGACACACGGAATGTGAGAGCTCAGGAGAGGGCTTTCACACTTAGCCCTGAAATGGCTAAGACTCAAAAAACAAGCATCTGATTTGTTTAGATGACAGTCTTTTTATTCATAAAGGACAATAACCAGGATGCAAGATAAAAGACTGGCATTTCTGGTGATGGACACTATCTCATACAGAGAGCCGGGCAAACACTCCTCCAAGAGCTACCACTGCCGTACTGACCTGGCAACGAGGACTCCCCCGATTCTACAAGCAGCTGCTCTGCACTCACCCAGTCTCAGGCAGAGAGGCTCTCGGGAGCCTTGTACTCTGATCGCCCAAAAGGAAGCTCTCGGCCTCTGCTGAGCCTTCTGCATCAGAAAGGAGGCCACTCGGCACCGCCGCAGGCACCATCCCGCTCTGGGACAGCACTTCCCTGCCACCTCCACCGGCAGCCCGTCCCATCCCGCCCTGGGACAGCGCTTCCCTGCCACCTCCCCAGGAGGCCCGTCCCATCCCTCTCTGGGATAGTACTTCACTGTTAGAAGGTCTCCTCCCCCTCCCTGAGGAGAAGGCTAATCTGTCTCTTCACTGCCCCCTTCCCTATGTGAAGACAATTCTCTTCTCTCCACCAAGTTCATCATCTCCAATTCCTTCCCTGGATCTCCATTTGTCATAACCTTGAGGCCATTCACACACAGCCAATGTCCATCTGGTTAAGCCTACGAGGTTCCCGCCCCTGGATGTTCATTCCCTAAACCATGGAGCTCAGAGCTAAGCATAACTCCAGGCATGGTCTGTCACACCCAAGGAGGTCTTTTGCTTTTCTGATTGACTGTCACATTACCAGGCTGGCCCATACTGAGCTTGCTGTCCACTTTAAGTTATTCTTCACTTCAGGGAAACTGCTGTTTCCCATGCCTCCACCATCTTGTATTTGTGAAGTTGATTTTTTGAACCCATGTGTAAGACTTCACGTTGATCCCTGTGAAATGCCTTCTCACTGGATGAAGCACCATGTTCTCTGCTGCCAGGGTCTTTTGGGAACTTGAGGCCGTCATCTAGTAGGTTAGCCTTTCTGCCATCTGCAAACTGATCATTAGCTCTCCAAGCCATAACCTAAATCACCGATGAAAATGGTCAACAGCCCATTGAACCACGAATGGTGACTTTTTGAGTTCAGTCGTTAAGTCCATAGCTGTATTTTCATTTAATCTCCATCTTTTCCAAACAATAGCATGAGATGCTTTAACAAACATTTTGTTAAAATCTAGGTAAGCTTTATCTAC